AATCGATTGAAATGTTTCGTTTCGCGCTTTTTTTTTTTTTTTCCCTACCATTCTCGCACAGCGATTTTAAAGTTAGCGCGCATTAAGTGAGACCAACTTGCGAGAGAAATAAAATAACGGATCGTTCCGCGATTATTCGCTCAGTGGAATTATGCCGTTCTTTTTTTTTTCGCAATATCAGAATTTCCGTATTCATTCCGGCCGGCTCTGAATTTACAGCTGCAAATTTCATCGATGCAAAATTAAGAAATGGAAGTTTTAATTTTCCCTCGAAAGTGATTTTCAACGATACGTCGAAATAAAAGTCGTTGTTCGAAGGGAGATGGATAATTACGTATAACTTGTTGTCATCCTTTCGATTAATTCGTAAGTTTTTCTTTTTTTTTTTTTTTTTATTTAAGAACAACGAGTCTCGATTTACACCCATTTGTTGTCTAGAACGTTGTCTCAGGATCAGGGTGAAACAACGTCGCATAAACGACATTGTGCAGGAGGAACAGACAGTGTGTCTACGTAACTGGTGTCTACAGAGAGGCAGAGAGAGAGAGAGAGGGTCGGCAATACCCTCGAGATTATTTCCTTTCGGCTAAGTTACGCGATCCGACGTAACTTCCTGCGGATTCCCCTATCCCAAGGAACCAACAAAGCCGGTCATATTCCGGAAATTCGGTAAAAGGGCGTTCGAGGAAACGATCGCCTTGATTAAATAATACAAGCTGCGATGATACAAGTAATACGATTAAATAATTATCAAGTAAATTCCATCTCTTTAAGAAGAACTTTTTCGTTAAATTGCGAGTTTTTTTTTTTTTTTAATTTTGGAACAAACGTGTAGAAGGATTCGATTCTCTAGACATTTTTCAGTTTTTTTTTTTCCAATTTCTTCGAAGAATACTTTCTATCATGTTCAAATGTCGATGATTATCTCAACGTTACGTTTTTCTCTTTTTCTACGAAATTACTGCGAATAAATTCGAAACAAGTTCCCAAGATGGAGCGCTTCTCAAGAATCCCGTCTAGAAAAGTAACGTAAGCGATCCGCCTTAGAAAAGAATCGCTATTCCATCAGCCGGTAGCTGATCAATCGATTCGATTCCACGAGACGATTTTTCTGTCACTCTCTGGAAAGAATCAAGCTGCAGCCTCGTATCGGGTCGGAAGACGGACGATCTCTCGAAATTTTCATTGGGGAAGAAAAATTTTGAAAATTCGTCAAAAATTTTTCAATATTGAAAAATTCCAAATACGGAGAATCATCCAACACCGAAGAAAAGATGTTGAAAACTACGTAATCAATTTATTTACTCGCGTGTATAACG